TTTGGTTGAATTTATTTTAATTGATGAAAAGATATTTTATTTTTCAATTTTATTATTATTTTTATTAGTATTATTCTATTAGTTTAATCTTTTTGTGTGTTGTGCATTTCAATATTGATGAGAATGTGAATTAACTAAAAATATATTATTAATAATACATAGTTTTAAATAATTTCATTAATTTAATTTATAAAATAAAAATCACTTAAAAAAAATATGTGTTGACCCTCTGGCGTTTCCACGTGTCTCAAAGGAATTGCATATAATTTTTTAAACGAATCGTTTTGAGATAGATTTAGTAAAATGTAAAATAAAAGAAAAATAAATCCGCCGTTGCCGGGGATCGAACCCGGGTCACCCGCGTGACAGGCGGGAATACTTACCACTATACTACAACGACAACTTTGATAGTGGTCTAAATATTACTTTATATATAAGTTTTTTTTCATGGGCATTAATTTATTGTATCTTTGAAGATCTTAGAGCTTTCATTTATTTTATTTTAGGAAAATAAACCTCAACTACATTTTCGCTAATTAAAAATTTTATGAATTGGTTTCCGAACATCTTCTTGACCAATGAAGTGTCATGATTATGAAATGATTATATAACATCTACGATTTTCGAGACCAACTTATTCTCTAAGTCATGAAAAAGACCCTTTCTGAGCCGCTGCAAAGAAATGGTTCAAAGAACTAATAAGATAAGAGTTAAGAAATTCGGGTTTTAGATCCATATTTTTCAACTAGACCCAACTAATGTTGTACTAGAAACGTCGGTCTAAATGTAACCTAGATCGTACCTCTTATCAACCAATAAACAAAATAAGAGCTTAAGATAATACCCCCTATTTGCTTTTTGAAAATATTTCAATTTGAAGGATATATAACAATAATATTAAACATTAAATTCACTCACCATACAAACTAACTTTATACTAATCATGATTAAGAAGAAGATGAAGAAAACTAAGTAACATACAGTATACATAGAAGCTTTCTAGTTCCTTTGAGCCATTTTTCTGCCTGTCTGATCCGATTATGTTCACATCCAAAATCTATGCTGCTATTTAGGCCTCGGCTTCCCTTTTAGGGCGGTTTCGAGTTCGTGGAAGAGCGGGTTTTTCTTCGAAAGGGATTTCTGAACTACCATCTTTGTTCTCTTCATCTTCCTCCATTATGGCTTGATTAAGAGCAAGCTGGTTCACAAACACAGTTCAACAAAATCAGTGTCTATTTCCCAGTTTCAGGAATCAATTTCCCTCACAAAACAGATTACTATGCATAAAAAGGAACCAAGCTTTCAGAATATTCCTGCTCTAAATAGGCTCTATGGGACGACCAAGGTGGGAACGACTTGAAATGTTATGAGATGCCTTCGATGTCTTAAGTTCGTGCTCTCACATGGAAAACTTATGCCTCGTTTGACAACTATTTGATTTTTTGAAGATTCCGTTCGTTCATTCGTCATTTCTCTGCAATGAGATTCATCTTTCTTTAAAAGAAGAAAACATTTGAATTTGAATTCTTAGACAATGAGATTCATCTTTCTTATGGTAGGCTACCCCTGCCTCCCTTGAGATTAGTGATGGTGGTGACCGGTGAGAATATACACGATTCAAAAGAACCTATACTCCCACTCTCCCTAATGAGAGATTTTCAAAAGGTGAGATTTCGCAACTTATCTAACTAATAAGAAAAAAGGGGATGTGCCCCATTATAAGAGTGAGCGCTCACTCTTTTGGGAAGAGTCGCATCAAAACAAAATCAATGTTTCAGCCTGCAAGAGAGGTATCTGACTTCTCTAACTAGCTGAATCACTTGAATCAGTTGAAGAAGATTCCTATAAGAAGAGTTGCGACTCCATGTCCACACGGGCGGGGGTTCATGACGAGTGGGCATGAAGTATAACCAAACAGCTAACCACAAATTCCTGAACGAGAACCACCCTGTAAAGTCAAGAGCCTCGCCTAAAAAACCAAACCCGGAGCTGAGAACAAGATCGAAAGCGCAACTTCTCAATCGATTTTTTGAATGAGGCCTCCGATACCGAGATTATTTGTAGTTCTAGGTCTATGGGGTGACCAAGATGGAAAGAACTTTGAAATGTTTTGAGATGCTTTCAATGTCCTAAGTTCAAGCTCTCGCCTAGAGAACATGGAAAATTAAACTCCTTGGAACTTCCCTGCTACACAAGGAATGAGGCCTCCAAGATTATCCAAGTGACTGATCATCTAATCAAATGGCCATGAATCTACAAAATAAAGCTTTTGATCGCTGATGCTCAAAGAAGGCAACTTTTGGGTGTCTGGAGGTGTGAGATCCTGCGTTAGTTGGGGAGGAGAACGGAACATTCTTTATAAGAGTGTAGAAACATCTCCCTACCATACGTGTTTTAAAAACTTGAGGGGAAGCTCAAAACGGAAAGCCCGAGAACAATATCTGCTAGCGGTGGGCTTGGACTGTTACAAATGGTATCAAAACCAGACATCGGGCGATGTGCCAGCAAGGAGGTAGCCCTAAAGGAAGTGGACACAAGGCAGTGTGCCAGCAAGAACGTCAGGCCTCGAAGGGGGTGAATTGGGGAGTCCCACATCGATTGGAGTAGGGAACGAGTGTCAGCAAGGACGTTGAGCCCTAAAGGGGGGTGGATTGTGAGATCATTGGGTAGGAGAACATCTCTCCTTTTTTACCGATATCACAATACATAATGAGAGTGCTTAACAAAGTACAGCAATCCCTCCATAAGAACAATCTTAGTATTAAAATTAGCACATGAAGAGATAGCTTGAATGCATCATAGTAACGAACAATTTCTCAACACTTCATAAAGGCTAGCTCAACCATAAACCATACAAATTCTAACATCAAAATATATGCAGAAATCATTTCCCTGAATACTAAGCATTAATACAAACAGGTTATGTGCATTAATATCACAGAAGCCTCAACATTGCAGGAAAGCACATCTAAACCAAACATGAACTGAAACCAACCAGAACGCCCAACAAAATTCAGTCCCACAAACAAAATGGAGCGAAATAACAAATCACAAAGTACCTCCTCAAGAAACTTCTTGTCCAGGTTATCACCGATTTTGAGAGCGGTAAGGGCAGTGACGAGAATAAGAGAAAAGGGGATAGAGAAAGCGAAGATGTAACTGCTGGTGCTGGCACCGGCACGAGTCGTCACCACTCGTAGGGCTCTGGCGGCTGATGGGTCGCCGGAGAATCTGACCGCCGGCGACAATTTGGAGGGTCTGAAGAATGCCCGTGCCGGAACCAGGGGAAGAGGGGGAAAGGGGAAGGCTCTGGTGGAGATAAGGAGCCTGGCCATAGCTTCAGACGTGTAAGGAATTGGACTGGCCATTCTTGTAAGCTGAATTTGATGTCATGTAAATGGGTGTGATGATAATGGATAGCCCAGCTCATTTTGATGACCCGAACAAAGAAAAAAGAAATAGTTTTTTAGAATATATTAGTTATCGAATATATCTTATATATTTTAATATTATTTTAGTAATATATTTTATTTTATTCTCTTCGTTTATATTTTTTCTTATTCGCAGGTATTAGTTGGTAGATTGTATTCTATTTAAACAGTGTGAATATCAATAAAGATTAAATTTTCGATCCCAATTCTATTTCTCATTCTTAAGTTTATTGTTTGCTTGAGTAATAATATTTTCAGATCTATTCACACTCGGTTGTGTCAGAAGTAGCATTTGAAATATCAGTGTGTCCCATTTTACAATAAAAAGAAAGAACAAGAACATAATAAAGAAACAAAATTATACTTTTATCTATTAAAAGACACAATTTTTAGAGTTACTTTGATAACGGTCTCGTCTCTCTCTTCTTTCCTTGTTTTGTCGTCCTTCTCTTTCAATATACCTCATCGTCCCTTGCCTTAGTTATGGTCGATGTTGTCTTAGTTTGTTGCTACCTTTGTCTTCGTTTCCTACTCTTAATCATGTAGGCTCAACTGCTGTTTTCAAATTATTTAAAAAAATCTTATTCAAAGTACATATTGTTAGACGAACACGACTCTCCACAATGGTATGATATTGATTCCCCAAAAGGCCTCATGCCAATAGAATTAGTATTCCTCACTTATAAACTCATGATCACACCCTAAATAAGTCGATGTGGGACTTCCATCATTCAACACATATTATATTAATAAATAAAATCTCATAATTTTTCTGTCGTTCTTTTTAATAGTAGGTTTGGGTTGAGTTGTTACTCTATTTTTTAGTCAGTCTAGTTGACCCAACAAAAAAAAAAATCAACTCAAATCAGATTTTGGATTTTTTTAAAAGTTTAACTCAACCCATACCGAAACAATTCCAATCTCACTCAAGTTTTATGATTTGGGTTGGATAGTTTAAAATGGTCGTGTTGTCAAGTCATATGAACACCCTTAATAAAACATATATTTTGAAACCTTAATGGCTCTTAAAAAAAACAAGTGTAATTTAATTTTTTTTAAATATAAAATAAAACAATATTAATATTTAAGTTAAATTAATAAAAATATTAGTTTGTCTAAAATAAATATCTATAAATTTGCACTTCACTGATATCCATAAACTTTTCGAAAAAATACTATTACTTTTAGAAAAAATTTCCTTTATTTCAAAAATATATTTAAACTATCAAAAATGAGTTTTAAAAAATACCATTTAAATTGCAAAACCCTTTAAAAAATAAGTTTTATTAATATTTTTAATTTTTTTTAAAATACTTTCAAATTTTTTAAAAAAAACTTCAAAATTACAGTTATTATCGCATTTAAAAAATACAGATAAAAGGTGAAAAAAAAATTGAATTTTTTTTATAAATATAAAAAACATTAATGCGAATTTGATGAATTTTTTAAAAAAATTGAAAGGTATGGTTGAAGTTTTTAAAAGTTTATGATATTTTTTAAATAAAGGAATATTTTTATTAAGTTTATGGCGTTAGATAGCATTAAAGAAATGATTTCTACATGAGAAGGACGCAAAACGAACCAAAGTTGTGCAAAAAGCCGTGACCACAAAAGTTGTGCGAAAAGCCTCATCGCCCGAGCTTCGTTTTCAACTCTCAGATCACAATAATCATCCTCTTCCTCCATTCTCCCGTTACAGTTTCTCTCACTCCACATTCCCTCAAGAATCGAGTTCCCACTCGCTGGATCCTCAGTGCTTCAGGCCTTCAATCGCGGTGATGGCGGGAGCGCAGCCGGCGGTTAAGGTCGTCGCGCTCTGTGGTTCTCTTCGCAAAAATTCCACCAACAGAGGCTTGATTCGTGCTGGTAATCGAACTCTCTCTCTCTCTCTCTTTCTCTCCAGTTTTCTGTTTCTGTGCTCTGTTTTTTTGTCGATTGTTCGTCGTCTAGGGCTCTGATTCGGCGATCGTTGTTGTAGCGATTGAGATTGCCAAGGAATCGATCGATGGAATGGAAATCGAATATGTAGATATCTCGCCGTTGCCTATGCTAAACACTGATTTGGAGGTTGATGGAACGTATCCACCGGCTGTCGAGGCGTTTCGTCGGAAGATTCTGGAAGCAGAGAGTGTTCTCTTTGCTTCGCCGGAATATAATTACTCCGTCACCGGTAAATTCCTTTTCATTTTTACTCTTTTTTTTTCCTAATTATATAAATTATCACTCTTATTAATATTTTTAAATTACTTGGGGTATAAATTTATTAGAATATTGAAATTAAAAATTTGGCTTTGATTGGCTAACATCTGCCCAAGTTAAATTACCATCTAGAATTCCCACTCATTCTAGTAAAGACTAATAATAGACAATAACTCCTCTTAAACACGACATACAATTTGAACTGTATTATGATCCCTTTAAACGGTTCTAACGGACAATTTGTGTGGTTATGGATAATTTAGCGGTTATGGATAATTTAGCTGGACTACAACTAGGAAAATAGCCTTTATTTTGCCTTGGGTCTACTGTATGCATCATATTTGACCCTTGATTATAGGCTAGTGTCCAGTATTATTGCAGATAATTAGTCTTCTGTAATCGTTTAACATATATATCATATTTGATCCTTGATCATAGTCTAATGTCGTATATCCATTTACTGCTCTTTCTATTTCGTTTGTAATTTATTTGATTCTATAAATGATTATAAAAAGAGAACTTTCACCATCATTTAGGTGCGGTGATTTTAGTAAATATTCTCACTTTCGTCTAAAAATATTGGTTTTTAGAATGAGTAATTGCCTCCTTCGGCCATACTACCTACCTCGTGAGCAAATAGCTAATAGATTTCATGTATTGTACGAGGTGCACCGAAACAACATGAGGGTGAATTTGGGTTAAGTTTAAAAGAATCGTGTTTATACACGTCAACTTTTCATTCAACCTTCTAACGAATTTGGGTTAAGTTTTGAAAGCTTTAGTTCTTTCATACTCTACTCGATAGGAAAACGAAATGGTGCAAAGTAGAGAATTCCCATTAACTAAATTAGGTTAAAAATTTGTTGTGTTCAAAATCGAACATAAAAATTTTAAACAACAAAAACGAGCCAACCTAAACGGACTTAATGGTAAAAGTACCTTTATTGTTTGAAACTGAGCTCGTGTTATGATATATTATTCATAAGTAATCGAATCGAGCCATGAAAATAAGCCTTTTCATTTCGTGTCAGTTTGATTTAGTTGTTGTGATGTTAATAGCACCACTGAAGAATGCACTAGACTGGGCATCAAGGCCACCAAATGTATGGGGAAACAAAGCAGCAGCAATCGTGAGCTCAAGTGGGGGCTCCCGCGGAGCAAGATCACAGTACCATCTTCGCCAAATTGGAGTGTTTCTTGACCTTCATTTCATAAACAAGCCCGAGTTTTTCTTGAACGCATATCAGCCGCCGCCCAAGTTCGATAGCCATGGCGACTTGATCGACCGTGAAGTTCGAGAGAAGTTGAAGGCTGTTCTTCTTGCTTTGCATGCATTTTCCTTGAGACTACGAGGAACCTCCGTTGTAAATTGAAGATCTTATCTTTATTCACGAAAGATTTGTGTGTGATGATATTGTTCCTAGGTGTGAGCAATAGAGTACCATTCGGATTGACACGCTCCCAATTAGATACATATTGTTGTAAGATCTTAAGACTATCGTTCACTAGAGCTCTACCTGGTGCCAATGTGAATAAGATCTCCACTAGATAGACATAACGTGATAATTGAGGAATCACTACAAGGAGAGTAAGATTCAGATTACCTTCTTGATGGAATATCTCAAGGCAAAAATATTGTTTGAGATTCGAATCACTCCACAAGCAAGATCGATCATGTCTAGCTTGAATGATTTTTGTGATCAAGTATCTTAATGCAAGAACACTTGTTTGAGATTCAAATCACTCCACAAGCCATGCAACTTAAACTACGTAGAATTGCAAAGAAACTTAGCCATTGGATAAAGAAAAACACAAATGCTTCTTTTACTATATTTTTCAAGTCTACCTACAAATACAACATACATGACTTTATATAGCCTCAAAACATTTCAAGAACTATATTTTTCAAGTCTACCTACAAATACAACGTACATGACTTTATATAGCCTCAAAACATTTCAAGAGTGGTAAGTAAATTAAAAGTATTAAAATACAATAATGAAATATAATAACTCTAAATTATTTTAAATTGTAATCTACCCAAAATTTATAACAATCAAACTTCATTCGTCTTCAGTGGCATGAATTGCAACATCTTTTGATAATTTTGACAGCATTTTCTTCACATCTTCATTAAATATATTGTATGATTGATGTCTCTTGGTTCATATCATAACGTCTTTATAATACTCCACAAAATAGGGTGATCGGTTTATTTTGAATATTCTCAGCTTGCAACTCAAGATTAGAATTGAAAAATGGATAGTAAAATAGTAGCTCATAGCTAAACTTGACAATAATAAAAGGAGTGAAGCAAATAACTCTACTTCTCTCTAAGGTCAAATTAAATTAATTACGTGTCATTGAACATAATACAATAGATACGATATCAATTATTATTTCAAAAACTTGATCGCTTACGGATATATATAATAAAATTTTGTAAAATTCACAAGGATAAGTGCAAGTATACACTATCACGAGTCGCAAGTAATAAGTAAATTATCGATTCTATATATCTTATTGCTAGAAATTAAATGAGTTTTTGGGTGACATTGTGTTGGTGATTTTAAACTAATTAAACAAAATTAACGCGGAGTGCCACTGCTATTGAAAAACAGAAAACGATGAGAAAATCAACAATAATGAAGAAGGTTCGGTTAATAGAGACTAAATAAATAAATTGTTGAATTTCTTGGTGAACTTTAGTTCTTTCCGATAGATTCACAAACCCACTCGCAAGTGTTATGCATATTGATTATTTTATAATAGTTTTTTAATTTGTATTAACAAACTTTATAGAAAATTATTTCTAACCCTTCTATGAAGTATCTTTCTAATAAAACGCGTATTAGTATACATTTAAAAAAATATTCATAAAATTTCAAAAAAAAATATTATAAATTTTGGTGATAATATATCAGGTGTCGATAGACAGATGTATAAACTTTGAATATTTTTTATATAAATATAAAAAATATTAATGCTACATTTAAAATTTCAGGAGTATTTTTTAAACATATAAATTTTGATTTTTTTTATATAAATATAAAAAATATTAATACTATCTTTAAAATTTCATAGGTAAAAATAAAATATTTTAAAATTTTTAAAGGAGACATTTTAAAGATACTATTAAAAAATTTATGAGATAAAATATAAAATATAGAATATTTTTAATAATGGAGGGGGGGAAGTGCTTCCTTCTCTGTTGATTCCCATTAAAGAAATGATTTGGACATGAGAAGACGCAAAAGGAGCAGAAAGCTCTGCAAAAAGCCAGACCACATGCGCCACACCACTACTATTCCTAACACAATCTCATCGCCTCAACTTCGTTTTCAACTTTCAGATCACAATACTACAATTTCTCTCGCTCCACATTCCCGTAAGAATCGGATCTCCACTCGCCGGATCCTCAGTGCTTCAGGCCTTCGATCGTGACGATGGCACTCTCTATGATGGTGGGAGCGCAGCCGGCGGTTAAGGTCGTCGCGCTCTGTGGTTCTCTTCGCAAAAGTTCTACCAATAGAGGCTTGATTCGTGCTGGTAATCGAAATCTCTCTCTCTCTCTCTCTCCATTTTTCTGTTTCTGTGCTCTGTTTTTGTCGATTATTCGTCGTCTAGGGCTCTGATTCGAAGATCGTTGTTGTAGCGATGGAGATTGCTAAGGAGTCGATCGATGGATTGGAAATCGAATATGTAGATATCTCGCCGTTGCCGATGCTGAACACCGATTTGGAGGTTGATGGAACGTATCCTCCGGCTGTCGAGGCGTTTCGTCGGAAGATTCTGGAAGCAGAGAGTGTTCTCTTTGCTTCGCCGGAATATAATTACTCCGTCACCGGTAAATTCCTTTTCATTTTTACTCTTTTTTGTTTTCCCTAAATTATAAAAAATATCACTTTTATTAATATTTCTAAATTTATTAGAATATCGAAACTAAAAATTGGCTTGGATCGTAAACTTGAAGGCCTAACCTCGGCCCTAGGTTAAATCACCATCTCGACTCCGGACTAATTCTATCGTAGAGGCCAATCATATTCAATAGCTTCTCTTAAACTCAACTTACAACTTGAATCGTGCTCTGATCTCTAAAGAACAATTCTTCTCAAAATCTCGAATGGCTCTAAGTTGGAATCTCATTCTAACTAAGTATTTGTGTGATCATGGATGCCTGATTTTTTTTTGCCTGTTCCTGAGAATATTTAGTATTCCATGTATACTTCATATTTGATTATATGTTAATATCTTGTATTATTGATAATAATTAGTCTTTCATTATGGTTTATCATTGCATCATATTTGATCCTTGTTCATAGACTAATACCATGTATCCATTTATTGCTCCTTCCATCTCATTTGTAATCTATTTATTTCTGTAGATGATTATTAATAGAGAACTTTCACCACTATTTAGGTGGGGTGGTTTTAGTAAATATTCTCACTTTCGTCTAAGAATATTGGTTTTTAGAATGAGTAATTGCCTCCTTCATCCATACTGTCAGCCTCGAGAGTAGATAGCTAATATGTTTCATGTATTACACATATGTTTCATGTATTACACGGGTGCACTGAAACAACATGAGGGTGAGTTTCGTTTAAGTTTAGAAGTATCGTGTGTTTATTCGAGTCAACTGTTCATTCATCCTTCTAACTAATTTTTTCTATGAGCATAGTTTTGAAACCTTTAATTTTTTCCTACTCCACTTGATAGGAAAATGAAATGGTCTAAGCGTAGAATTCCCATTTACTAAATTAGGTAATATTTCTTGTCGTATTATTTCTTGTTGTATTCTAAACCGAACGGGAAATATGAATCTGTCTCAACCCATTAATAAAAGACTTTGATTTGATTCAATGACATGACTAAACACTTTTTGATTTGATGTCAGTTTGATTGAGTTGTTGTGATGTTGATAGCACCACTTAAGAATGCACTAGACTGGGCATCAAGGCCACCAAACGTATGGGGAGACAAAGCAGCAGCAATCGTGAGCTCAAGTGGGAGCTTAGGAGGAGCAAGATCACAGTACCATCTTCGCCAAATTGGTGTGTTTCTTGACCTTCATTTCATAAACAAGCCCGAGTTTTTCTTGAATGCATATCAGCCGCCGCCCAAGTTCGATAGTCATGGCGACTTGATCGACAGCGGAGTTCGAGAGAAGTTGAAGGCTGTTCTTCTGGCCTTGCATGCATTTTCCTTGAGACTACGAAGAATCTCGGTTGTAAATTGAAGATTTATCTTGAACTTTGTTTCCCAAGTATGAGCAATAGAGTACAGTTTGGATTGACACATCAACACTAAATTGATAATAGCAAATTCTTGCTAGCTTTAACTCAACCAATAAAAGCACATGCCTGAGTGTATTTAGGGCCTCGATTTTCGAGCTTTTCAAACTCCAAATTTCTAGAAACTTCTTGGAGAGGTCCTATATTAAAGAAAAATATTGGTACCATTACAAATAAATAAAAAAATCGGATTAAAATAGGTCAAATCAGGCAAAGAGTAAAAAAGCAGTTCGATTAAATCAAACATGAACAGTACCGTGACAACGAACATTACATGAACAATACCTTGAATAATGTCATACCTAACCTCCAGCCATAACATACCTCCATATTCACACTTTCTTCACAAAACTTCTAAATCTCTTTACGTTGAGCAATTTGATTTAAATTTTTTATCAATTTTGGCTAAGGAAAACATATTAGAGGATGAAATTCACAATTTCACCATTTTTTTTTCAAATTCAAGTCTCAATTTTTTCATAAAACATGTAAAGCTTCCTCCTACAAAACCACATAAACAAGAATAATTAAATTATAAAAAATGTAACTTTTAAAACTTGGTTTTGAAGATATTGTCCGCTTTGGCTGGTTACATATCATCATTAGCGTCACGATTTTTAAAACACGTTACTTGAGAGAAGTTTCTACACCATTTATAACGGATGTTTCATTCCCCTCTCCAACCGATGTGGAATCTCACAATCTACCCCCTTGGGGGACCAACATTCTCACTAGCACACCACTCAGTGTCTAGCTCTGATACCATTTGTAACGGCCCAAACTCACGGCTAATAGATATTGTCCCCTTTGGGCCATTACAAATGGTATCAGAATCAGAAACTGGGCGGTGTACCAACAAAGACGTTGGACTCCCAAAGGGAATGAATTGTGAGATTCTACATCAGTTGGAGATAGGAACAAAACATGGGTGTAAAACCTCTTTCTAACAGATGCGTTTTAAAACCGTGAGGCTGACAGCGATACGTAATAGGCCAAAGCGGATAATATCTAGGGGTGGAATTAATAAAATTCAATAAAAGATAGAAAATGCAATGTTTAGCAAAATTACATGAAACAGAAGTTAAAAAAACTTTACTCAGTTACATGTATTTACATTAACGTTTATACATCCATAATTAGTGGTATAGTAAGGACCAATTTCTCTCAAGTGCCAAATTAAGCCTTTCAGCATCTGAGCTTAAGACTCCTATCCCTTTTCATTATCTCCATACAACCTGTATTCAGTTACCTATTCCATGTGATGGATCACTTTTAACAGGGATCACCCTTCTCGTTTTCGAGGTTTAGTCGACCACATATAACGTAGTGTACATGATGAGTTAATTATCATGGTTCGGCGTTCTTACCGATGAACTTTCGAGCATAGGAGGGTGTGCTCCAACCATCTTCGATCATAATAAGGGCAAGGCGTTTCATCAAGTTTTCCACAGCTTCTTCCTCCTTGGAACTTAACATGTCGGTTGGACTCGAGGAACTCTGCAGTGGTTGGCTGAGGTGATCAGTTCATTTTAGATTGATAGAATTCCCTTTCCATTTATTTTCATTTTAGATTGATAGAATGTACCTTTGTTTCCTGATACAACTTCAAGTACTCCAGAGATTGCTCATAGAAGCCACAGTGGTAGAGAAGGATGCTATAATCTCTCAGTTCCTTCATATCAACATCAAGGAGGATAAGCCGTTCACATGCTGCAAGAAAGAACAATGAGCTTACAGATTAAGATGAAGAGTAGAAGTAACTGAACCTTTTCCTTCAGGAGAGAACAAGAATATTTTGGTGCTAATGTGGATGAGAGAGCTAGAGCTTGTATAAATCCATGAGCGAAGTTTGAGATGTCATTGGGATTCAGAATAAGGCTTGTTGTGAGATCCCACATCGGTTGGAGGGGGGAACGAAGCATTCCTTACAAGGGTGTGGAAACTTTTCTCTATCAAACGCGTTTTAAAACCATGAGGCTAACGACGATATGTAACGGGTCAAAACAAACAAAATCTGTTAGTGGTGGGCTTGGGCTGTTGCAAATGGTATCAGAACTAGTCATCAGGCAACGTGTCAAAAAGGACGATGGGACCCCAAGGGGGGTGGATTCTGGGATCCCATATCGGTTGAAGAGGGGAACGAAACATTCCTTATAAGAGTGTGGAAACCGCTCTCTATCAGCCGCGTTTTAAAAATATGAGGCTGACGGCAATACGTAACAAACCAAAGCGGACAATATCTATTCGTGGTGAGCTTGGGCTATTGCAAATGGTATCAGAACCAGTCACCGGGCGGTGTGTCAGTGAGGACACTAGGTCCCCAAGGAGGGTGAATTGTGAGATCTTATATCGGTTGGAGAAGGGAACAATTCCTTATAAGGGCGTGGAAACCTCTCGCTATCAGACGCATTTTAAAACTGTGAAGCTGACAGCAATACATAACAGGCCAAAATGGACAATATTTATTAGTGGTGGGTTTGGGCGGTTAGAAATAAACCAGAGTTTAGCTTGGTGAAGTGTGTTTGGACTCTGTAGTTCTATTCTTTTTATTAAAACAAAAACAGTAGGGAAGTAAATAAATAAAAAAGATGGCATTTTTTCAGTATGGCTAAATAGTTTCTTCACCATTTTTTTTTAATTTTTTTTATTTGATTTTCTATTACAGTCTCAAAGAGAGAGAAGTGTAGCATACCAGCCAATGCACGCCTCATATCTCCATAACGCCTACTTGTCCAAAGTCCACGTTCTAGCCTGTGTTGAGCAGCCTTTGCAGACGCAAGCTGAAAGCCACTGAAAAAGGAAAAAAAAAAAAAAAAAAGGCAAAAAACAGAGATATTAATGCACATATCTACAAGATCTGATTAGAAGGGAGGGGCTGAGGAACGCAAAGAGTTACTGGATGGTGAATTTGGGGATGCAAGTAGGCCTATGCTGCAGATTTAAATAGTTGAAATACCTTTCCTCAATTGCATTCGATCTATCACAACAGTTAGCAACATCAACCGCTCTTAAGAATAAACTTCTGGATTGATTTTGTTGAAATGGCCAAAAAGATCCTTTTAAATTGCTTAAAATCTGCATTCATGTACACAAACAGAGAGTAAATCAGAACTTTTCTAGATTAAAAAGAGTAATTAGAACTACGTTTTCTTTAATCAAGAACGAATGCATAAGCACATACAAAATCGACAACCCAACAAAAAAGAATGCCAAAACCCTAACCTAGCAATACGAAAAAAGAATCCAATTCATCCAAATGTGTAAGGCCTTAGTAACAGACGCCCAGAGATATGTATTAAATCTATCAAGAGACCACATATCCTACTAATATTTACAAAAATCTTTAAGAAGTTTGAACCGTATTAGAAAGGCTAAGTACTCTTTTCTTGTTAATTGGAAGCCTAAAGGTCCCACTAGAGGCGTAAGGAGATCCTATTTCCCCGTCCTTTTTTAGGGTGGGTGTGAGATCCCACGTTGTTTGGTGAGGAGAACGGAGCATTCTTTATAAGGGTATAGAAACCTCTCCCTAGCAGACACGTTTTAAAAACCTTGAGGGGAAGCCCGAAAGGGAAAACCCAAAGAGGACAATATCTGCTAGCAGTGGGCTTGGACTGTTACAAATGGTGTCAAAACCAAACACCGGGCGATGTGCCAACGAGGAGATGAGCTCCGAAGGGGGGTGGACTTGAGGTGGTGTACCAGTAAAGATGCTAAGCCCTGAAGGGGGGTTGATTGTGAGATCCCACATTGGCTTGGGCTGTTAAAGTAGTAGTTGATGCTCTTAGCAGGTTCATTTTGGCACAGTGGATAAAGGTCTCCTTGAGGCTTGGGTGGGAAGGGATAGATCCCATCATTAGCATCTTCAATTTATTGATGATACAATCTTTATTTATCCGGGTAGGAAAGATTTATTTTCTAATGTTAACCATTTATTGTCGATCTTCAAAATTCTGGTCTTAAGGTTAACAAATCTAAGAGTTCAGTCATTAGTATCATATTTGATAAGACCAAGACTAAATATTACCTCCACCAACAGACTTTGGGTTGTTATTATGTGTGGTTGATCAGATTCCTTGCTTTTCAGTTTATGATAGCCTGTGGGAAGGCTATAGTCGTCATGAGGATGATATATCTCAACATCAAAATCCAGAAGGCTCCATAAACGAAGCATTTTCAAGATCTCAGAGTATATGAGTGAAAGTTGTGCAGATGAGCCTGTACCATGTGTCAAAACCTGTCAACATGAAACAAAATATTTCCAAAAATAATTCAACTCTACTACAAAAAATAAGAAAGAAAAAAACTCAAAACAGAAAATACAGGGCAGAATCTTTTACTGTGTGAAGATATAAAGCTTGTGGTTCCAGTTGAGCTTTAGAACTGGTTCTTCTGAAACCCTAAAAGATGAAATATGTCACTGGAAGAATTTTGAGATATGTTTAACTTGTTATACCCGTTTTTGAAATTTAAAAATCTTACCTTAGTGACATACATGTACCTCTCTATACTCTCCAAAAAACTTTCAGGTGATAAATTGAATGAAGATTTATAGTGAGTGCAATAGCCCATGGAAAGGTCAGCTAGACTATGAATAAATGCATCGATGGGAAGAGGAACAGATGAATGAGATACCAAGGAATCATCCTCTGCTGCAATATAAAGAGCAGCTTTCGCCAAATCAACACGCCTATTAATGCTTATACTTGTTTCCCTCTCTATATTGGATAAATATTGAATCTGAGTCAAGAAACCCTTCCTAGCCTCCTGCATAGTCATTGAGCATCAAAATAAGATTTATTTGACAACCGTTTTGTTCTTAAGAAACTAGAGCATGCCCTTGATTTTTGATAACCATGTTAACCAGCAGAGCATAAATATCAAACTGTGCAAGAAAAATAACTTCCGATAAAAGCAACTTAAATTACTACTGGGGTCAAGAATTTGTCATGTACAGACAAGAAAGTTAACAAAATGGAAATAAAATGTTCTCGTTCATGAAGGA